GGTTTAGGGTTTAAGGGTATAGGGTTTAGGGCTTTAGGGCTTTAGGGTTTAGGGTTTAGGGCTTTAGGGCTTTAGGGTTTAGGGTTCAGGGTTTAGGGCTTTAGGGCTTTAGAGTTTAGGGTTTTAGGGCTTTAGGGCTTTAGGGTTTAGGGTTTTCGGGCTTTAGGGTATAGGGTTTTAGGGTTGTTAGGGCTTTAGGGTATAGGGTTTAGGGTTGAGGGTTTAGGGTTTAGGGGTTTTAGGGTTTAGGGTTTAGGGTGTGGCGAGTGAAGGGTTTAGGGTTTGGGGTTTAGGGTTTAGGATTTGGAGCTTGACGGTTTAGAGTTTAGGGCCGCTGAGGGTGTAGGACTGAGGATCTAGGATTTGGATCTCCGGCTTTAGGGGTTTAGGATTTGGGGTTTAGGATTTAGGGTTTAGGGTTTAGGGTCCTGGCACATGTGGAGGTCAGCGTGCTTTTTTTGGGAGATTCGAAAGCAAGGGGTCCGAATACGGTCAAAAAGCTAGTAGTATGATGGGCGGCTACACTATCCTGTATCCGACAGCTTGCTTTGTTCTGCACCTTCTTTAGGAGTTAGGATTTGGGGGGGCCCTTGGGGATATAGACCCTCTCAATAAGGTCCCTTTTGGGAGAGCCATAAGTAGGGTTCAGAAGGCACCCTTTAAGGCCCTAATACTACCTAGGATTCTTGTGCCCCCTACACCCTGAATCCCGACTTTAAAGCCCTTGAAGCCTTACATTCGATTGGGGGAACTTGGAGCCCCGCACCCAAATGACTTGTAGTTCTGTTCACTCAGGCCCCTACACTGGAAACCCGTGCACCCTTCTAGGAACCCGCATATATGATGTAGGGGCCTTCTTATTTTCAATAAGATTTTGGGGTATATTACGCCATAATCATAATAAGGAGCCTGCAATGTAGTATAGGTATTTATTTAAGCCCCTATGCTTTTTATGAATATTAGTAATAGTTAGGTTTAGGGTTTAGGGTTTTAAGGATATTAACATTAGTAACATTAGTGTGCTAGACTTAGCGTCGGCACGACGCCTGGCCTTCGGCAGCCAACGGCTTAGACTCCTCCTCAGAGCTTTTGGCAAAGGGCTCCTGCGAAGAACCGAAAGCCTAAACCCTATGCCCTAAAACCCTAAAGCCCTAAAGCCCTAAAGCCCTAAAACCCTAAAACCCTAAACACTAAACCCTAAAACCCTAAAGCTTGGGGACCTTTAGGGTTTTTTCGGATGACAGGCTAAAAATTTTTAATTCATTGTTGTATAGGTGTTAGAACTTGGGAGTCGCCGAGTTCGAGGTTGCTGGCTGAAACATGTGGTCTAGATTCTTAGGGGCGGAATACCCCAGCCCCAAAAAGGTTAACCTTTTGAATTATGGTGGGATTATAAGAGCCCCAAAAGGTTGAAGGTTACCTACTCAGCCACTATAGATTTCACTTCGGATGCAGGCTTCGGCTGCAAGAAAGTGCGAGTGAAGCATGGCATCTCATGTGCTTCTGAACGCCACTGTGCCCTAAACCGAAAGCGTGCAAGCCTAGAGATTTCGGTTTTCAGCTCGCGAAATCTTGGGTTCAAGGGCGTGAAAGTTAGATTCCGAAACTTAAGCTTGGAAACCTCGGCAATACCTTCGTCCTGCTTATCAAGCCCCATCGATCTTACTGGGACTGCTCTGAGCCATGGCTTGGTCTACACCAGGTCCGGTGAACAAAAATGCTCAAGACATGCCGTAACTTGGGACACAGAAGTCCAAGCACACACCGGGCGCACCTGGTCCACTTCCCGTTCCATGCTGGCCGGGTAGTAAGGGATCCCCGCAAGTCGGGCACCCAGAGATGCCAGCACGCCTCAAGATTGTGGGTGCAAGTACTACACTGACTACACTAGCCATTTGCTGTCTTGCGCAATGTCAACGTCTTTGGGATTTTCTGCTTTGGTGGAGCTTTTGCTTGGGTCTTGGGGTGGTGCAGCCGGGTGCCAACATGCGGGCAGCTTGATCTCTGCGAAGGTCCGAAGTTCAAGTCGGAGCCCCGAAGGACGCCAACCGGCTTAAACTCTAACGTAGGGGCCTTAATAATTAGAATAGGGTTTTGGGCTCCTGTATACTACAACTATGAATCAGGAACCTAAGAAGCAAGGCACAGAACATGCCGTGCACATGCCACCGGGGTTCTTCATTCAGAAGCGGACACCGGGACAACATCTGCCTGTCCAAAACGCAGCGGCATTGCGCAAATCAAACAGGCTAACCGACAGCAAACCATAACCCGAATCCCAAACCGCCTGGCCTAAGTCCTTGAAACTCTCAATGTGCCATCCAAGTTGCTGGAGCACTCTAGGGACCAGAAGAAAATGCCAGGCACACCATTGTGACGCACGTATGTTCCTTATACACAAGCATAACAGGTGAACAGAGCTGAACCTGTTCAAGAGATCCTACTGCCAGTATAGCGTCTGTTCATCTTTGCTAGCTCGTTGCTGCGGAATAAACTGTTCCTCTCGCCGAAGTTTCCGGTAGCCCAACTTCTGCCGAGAAGCTGACATTGGCACCGAGGTGGTCGATTGGGCGCACCTCAACATATCAACTTCTCGAACTCTCCTGTTTCAGGTCCCCAAGTATGCTCCTGCTCTTACAGCTAATGTTCAGCATTTCGAGCGGTAAGACTCTACAGTGCAAGGCAACCGCAGCTGAAGCTTTGCGCTAAGCAAGCTGCCCAGGTCGCTGGAGGCTGGGTTCATCGACGAGTCGCAATTGCGCGGCCCAAGGGGTGCGCGGCAGAGACGCCACGCTCCGTGAGGAGCACCAAACCTGGAATGGGAAGCTCCTTTGGAAAGCCCATGCCCGAATGAACAAAAAATGATTGGAACTCGGCTTGGCGGGGAATGCTACGGCACCAACACAATTTTCAAGAGGTTTTCTGTTGGAGGCTAGTGCAGTCGAGGTTCATAGACGGGTTTCGTCCTGAACCCCAAACCTACATCCTAAACCCACAGACTTTGCCCGAAGCCCTACAATCGAACCTCGCGAAAACAATCAAAACATCGTGGTCCGCCGACCTCGAAGCGGTTTGGGCTTTCGTAGAAAATTTCCGAGCAAGAGAGCAAGAAGCGCCCAAACCGATCGACGCTGACACCTGAAATAGTACGAGTTGTCCTTCGACGACTCACCCTAACGCCTCCAGGGCACCTACTACATAGGGTACTAGAGCCCCTAGGGCCGTACATGGTAGGCAGCCGGGGTTAGGGTCACATCTCCAAAGCCAAGGGGCCCACCCAGGCAGAGCCTTCCAGAACATCGGGCTCCAGGCCCCTGCCAGGGTCATGGTGCAGGGTGATGGGAAGATTGAGGATTCCGGAAGGCAGACCAGAAGTGAGAGGTTTAGGGTTTACCTATAGTCTCCATTGTACTTCCTTTTTGTGGATACCCTATAAAATCCTTCATATATAATTGGTTAAACCCAAAAA